GGCAGCCTCCCGGTGCTCCTTGCCCCGAAGCGTCAGCTCATAAACTTCCAGGATTACGTGGCCCACCTTGAGCTGCCCACAGGTGTGAGCTGAGCCACCTCTCTGAATAGTGACAATCCTAGGCAGGGGCTGGCGGGTGTTGGCACCACCCTCAATGGCGATGCCCAGGGTGGCCGCACTTTTCTTCACATGGACCAGAAGAGATATTTAGATAGTCTTTCCTCTTATATTTAGATCCATTTCGGGTCTAAATATAACAGAAAACTTTCTTCTAGGCTTCTACAAATTATCTTCGCTGTATACACTTATGCACTTGTTCATCTTTATCTGCAAGCCCCATTTCTAGTAATGGCATATGAACTGGTTGCTGCTCATCGTCATATAACGTCACTATTTGTTCTGGTGCTGGAGCCATGGATGCAGCATAAAGCTGTTTTCCTTGAAGACAGTCTATCATAGCCCATAGTGCCTCCATGCTCCATTTGGGACAATATGGTATTCTCGTCTCCCTTAGATCCCTTAAGGGAGGTTTAAACCCTGCCAAGAAAACCTTTATGGCTAGAGCTGGATACTGCATAAGATGAGAAGGAATTTGGCACAGTCTGTTTAATGTCAGCTTTGCAGTTGATCCATAATCAACAAATTGTACCAGGATAGATAAAGGATTAAATTCTTTTATGGAAACAATCTTTGCTCTATACCGTAAGCCATCATCATATTCTGCAAGACAAGGCATTTCTGTTCTAAAATCTGTCAGAGGAGGAAGCGTCTTATACTAGACACTTTTTTTTTTTTGTAAGACAGGTTTCTTTTATTAGTTTTTCCTAAACTTGTCTCATTGAATGATTTTCTTAGTGTAAGAACGTGACCTGGAGCGTTAACAAATCAGTTTGGATAACGCAACCTGGATAAATGCTTGTCTGTACACAAGCCATAAATTACCACTCTCTGGCCTGGCCTCTATGTAAATCCAATTGGTCTTATAGCCTGTCTAAGCAGAGAGCTAGCAGACCACATCATCTTGTTTCTAGTTTTAACTTCAAATTCACCCCCATCCCAACACCCACACCCTTCCGCACACACACACACATGCACATACCAAAAAAAAAATTTTTTTTTTTTTTAGAAGAAATGGCCATTAGGATTGGGCCAGTTGTACAAGGGTTGGCTTAATCTTGCAGCCAGCACTTTAAAATAGCCATTGGCTTCACAGCAGGCCAGCTTGAACTCTTGAAGCATGACATGTAGAGAACAGAGGATGTGCTAAGAACAGGGCCTTGTTGTGGTGCCTCGAGACCTCCGTGCATGCTTACACACCAACATAAGTATGCTTTTCCCTTCCTCCTCCTAAGCAATTGTTCTTCATAGCATTTTAGAGCCTGTAACACTCTAAAACTTTTCAATGTATCTAGAGATGGACAGAAACTTACTTCTAACTATACAAGATATCATCTTACATCTAACAACATAGGCCAAAAGTAACAGAGGCACTCTGTTATACAGAATATCAATTTTTACAAAGATCCAAAACATTACCAACAAGCCTTGTAACAGTTTCTTAAAGCAGGTACCAGCTCTGGCCTGGAACACAGGCTTTCCTTGGATTTTTCAAAATGCCTCACTCCTATCAACACTGCCCCAAAAAGCAGTCAGAGGAATGCTTTGGTATACCTGACACTGGCCGCACAGTTAAGAATAAAGTGTTGTTATAGCATCAGGCACCACACTTCTTGAACACTAATTTCAGACTCATCGAGTACAATCCAGTGTATCTTCGTTTTTTTGTATCATCTGTCAGCTGCTTAACACGTACAAATTGGCAAGTTCATGACAGTAATTCTGTTAACCAGAAGATTAACAACGTGGATGGCCACCTCTATGAATTTAATGGACAAATGCCTTTTCCGGTGAACCATGGCACCAGTTCAGAGGACACCCTGCTGCAGGATGTTGCCAAGCTCTGCAGAGAATTCACCGAGCGTGAGCAGGGAGAGGTCCGCTTCTCTGCCATGGCTCTCTGCAAGGCAGCCTAATGGTTTGTGGGAGGGACTTTGCTGTTTTCCCCTCTTCCCTTCAACGTGAAAATATATACCTCCCCATGCAGTCTAAAACGCTTTAGTACTTGTGAAACACAGCTGTCCTCCTTCCATCCTGCAGACATGCCTTCCCCTCAGCCACACCCATGCACGAGCAGAGTGCACAGCTGTCCACTGGGCCAGTGTGGTGTGAGCTTCAGATGGCGAAGCATTCTCCCCAGTGTATGTCTTGTACCCAATATCTAATGCTTTCAATGGCTACTTTGGTTTCTGTTCGTAAGTTAAGACCTTGGATGTGGTTTAATTGTTTGTCCTCAAAAGGAATAAAACTTTTCTGCTGATAAAAAAAAAAAAAATTTTTTTCAAACAGGGACCATTTAATATAGAGAATTACTGGCTTTAACAGTGAACTGGAATAATGAGGGCTTCACTGATAAAATGCTTCTGAATTGACTGGAAATCCATCGGGGGTGCTGGGGAAAGTTATTCCCAGAGAGCTGCCTAAAAAAATCTTTAAAAATCTTTAGATTTTTTTTTTTTTTTTGACGGAAATACTATTTCATTTTCATGGTGCTTACAATCAAGAGGAACTGGAAGTTTATAAAAAGGGAAAATTAAGGTAATTTCTGATGTCATCAGTGGTAAGGGGAAATAATACTATATAATGTTGTAGAATGACCAGGGCAGCATGGATCAGTGCGGTCAGAAGGTTACATCTTATGCAGAGCTTTATCAAAAAAAGCAATAGCTCTGCATTGTGTTGTGGGTTGGCTCTGGTCCAAAATGACTTCTTTCCAGCCCATCTTCAAGCTCCCTCTCTGCTTTGGGTCTCTTTCTGAGGGAGCCTGTGAGGTAGAGCAGGTGAGCACTGCCCCGAGGCCTTTCACTCCTCGCTGGTCAGGAACAGCCCAGCCCCAGGGGCTGAACCAAGCGCTCAGCCGTGGGCTGGAGAAACCAGCGGCGAGGGGCGAGGTACAACCGAGCCTGCGGGGGACCGGGGGCGCAGCAGCCTGGCGCTTGGCTCTGGCAGGCCTCTCCAGCATTCCATGTGGGCAGTAGCTCAGGAAGTGGCCCAGGCTGCAAGTGTTTCTGGCGGGGTCAACATGGCGACTGAACCGTCTTTCCTCTTTCGGGGAAAGACATATCTAAGATTCTGTACAGCCTGCACAGCTGGTGTGGGATCCTGGTCTTTGTCCTGTACTTCGTGCAGGTGAGTCCTTCCAACACCCGGGGCCTGGGCCACTTCCCAGGGAGATGGGAGGGGAGGGGAGCTGGGCCGAATGTGCTTGATGGAAGGGCCTGTTCCTCTTTCTTCCTTTCCTTCCTTCTTTTTTTTATTTTCTTTCTTTGTTTTTTATTCTTTCTCTTTCTTTCTTTATCTCTTTCAAAAAAAAGAAAAAAAGAAAAAAAAAAGGTTGTTGATTCCCAGCACTGAAATCTGAGCAACCCACTGCGCCGGCTAAAACAGCGGCATTAAGATTCTTGGTGCTTTTCTGCTCGGGAATCTCCGGTCTGGCTTCCCTCTTGAGTCCGTTTTTCAATCAGCTGAATGGGTGACTCTGCCTTCCTGGAGCTCCAAACGTTGACCAAAAGGGGAGCCAGTCCCGTTTACTCTGGGAGAGAACCGCCGCGCCGGCCACAAGAGTCGCGCTGGCGACCCGTGGGGCTCCTCCACTGGGAATCTCCTGGTCCGTGAGCAACAAAAATTCATCTGAAAGTGTGGCGTCCTCTCATTCTCTGCG